AGGGTACATACCCAGGTGGCAGGTTCAATCCCTGTTAGGTGCACGTGCAGGGTGGAACCTCTCTCTCATATCGATGTTTCTCTGTATCTCCCCCCCTCCCTGCCTTTCTCTCTAAAATCAATTTAAAAATATATATATTTTAAAAATTATTTGGTTATTTGGAAATAAAAGCGTGTATATTTGCATGTTTATACATGCATATTATATAGTGTATAATGTATTTTAAAAATTTTAGTGTGGGGGCATATTTTTGTCTCCTCTCATGGCTGTAGCAAAAGACTATTGACTTTTTATAAATGTATAATGGGAGTGTTAAACACTTATAAGGAGGATTGAACTCTGATAACCTAAGAATACACAGTAGAAAAGCCCACTATGTAAATTTGCTTAACATTTCTCCTTTTCTGATTCTTTTGTGAAAATAAGTACTTCCAACGGTGGCCTTTTAATGAAGTATGAAGCCCTTGTGGCTTTTAAGATAAATTCTTAATGGTGAAATTAAATATTGATTTTCATGCAAACAATGATTTTATAGAAACACTAGCTAGTGATGTACCCTATGGATCAGTCTCCCCCTTCCCCACAATGATACTTAGTTTTTAGGCTGTAACTGTTCCTGACTTGAAATTTAATTTGTATTATTTGATTTATATCTGTTGAGCAGCCAAAAGATGAAAAATTAAGTTCTAGGTATTCTGGAAAGTTGACTGATTTAGGTGCAGGTTTGCTTAACTATATGTCTGTAAACGTACTAACTGAACAGAAAGAGCCCTAGAGAGAGAAGAGGATTTATAATCTCTGCTGAGAAATCTAGGCCATCAAAGCAATGAGGACACTCTATGCTCTTCCCCCACTGAGGAATGGCTGAATTGAAGGAAAAACCACACTGCCATTTTGTATTTATTTTCATCAATATGGTTTTCTTAAAAGGATGGGCAAGGGTTGCTGGAAAGGAGGGAAGCAATGCCCCAGGATATTCTTTGCATATGTTTACCAAAGTCAGTGAAGCAGAGAGAATGTTAGCTCATTAAACAAGGTATCGGAACTACAGTGCTTCACACTGAATCAGTCTCCCTTCATTTTGGCCTGTTTTTCACAAGCAAATGTGTACATAAAAGCCAGCAAAGTGAAGGAACTTTAAGATAGTGATGAGGTGAGCAGTGTATGGGAAGTTAAGAGTCCACACATTACCCAGCCTGGCGTGGCTCAGCAGTTGAGCACCGACCTAGGATCCAGGCATTCTGGGTTTGGTTCCCCGTCAGGGCACATGCCCGGGTTGCAGGCTGCAGCCAATCAATGACTCTCATCATTGATGTTTCTATCTCTCTCTCCCTCTCCTTACTACCTCTCTCTGAAATCAATAAAGATATATTTTAAAAAAAAAGAGAGTCCACTTATGTTCTTGGGCATAGTAGTCCTTAACTAAACTATCATAATTGGGGCGGGGGACTTCTTCTCTTAAGAGATGAGGGATCAAAGATGAACTGATAAAACAATAGAACACAATTAAAAGGAAAGCCCACAGAACTAAAAAAAAAAAAAAGGAATGAAGGGTCAGATAATAATCTTGCAGAAGCTAAAATTATATTGGCAGCAGCAAGAAATAGAGCAAATAGTATGAAAAAATAGAGACATGTAAGACAGGAAAAGGACAAAGAAAGAATTAGCAAATGGTAGACAGAGTGGGCAAATTAACAAAGACTGGGTTGGGTACATGTCAAGCAGGACACAGTCTTAATAACTAAAGGATTTTTAAGTAAGACCTGAATGGCATTTCAAAAGAGAGAGTTAAATGCTACAGTAAACCCTGTGGAACTACTAAAAATTTAAAGAATGAAGGAAGAAACCTATATATATGTGCCAGTTGAAAAAGTATTTGAATTATAAAATGAAAATTATTTTGACCACAGACTTCAGTAACAACAGCTACCAGAAGAAAATGGATGCTGCCAATATAGAGAATATTGATGGGAGAATATAAGGGTGGGGTGGGGGATTTGGCCAAAGTGAGCATTTGAATGCATTTAAACATTTGAATTATGTCTGAGTAATTAGGATAATCAAATTTAGGAAACAAAAGGTGTTACTCATTTTGTGGGAGAAAGCTGTATAATGTAAAAGTGATGTAATTAGTGAAAAAAATTATATGAACTTACAATTAGCTGGGAAAAGGTCCAGGAAGTCTAATCTAAAACTCAAGAGTTAAGTGTAGGGTCATTTAATATAAGGACAATCAATATATTATTTAAAGTTGACAAATTAAGAAATAGGTTTAAGTACTGAGTTTGTTATGTTCAGTAAAAAAATTAGATTTCAGTATGTCCCATAAAACTATTGCAGAGTCATCGCTGGACAGATCATGTAATAAATAAAAATAAAAGCAAAACAAAAACAAACTTTCAAATGTTACATTTCTTGTAATATGTAACTTTACCTAATAAAGGAAAAAGATTTCTAGGCCTACTATGCCCAACAATATGAGTGGATTCGTAAACTCCCCATTCTGTTTATCTGGGCATTTTTTGAAAGTTCTTGGGTACCTTCTAGAATGAGTCAAAAAGCTTTAAACTCCAATATATGCTATCTTAAAGGAAATTTCTAAAGCAAAGGAATTCAGATTTATTACTCTCGTTTAAGAAGTTACTCTCATTACTTTTTTAAAAGAAATTGAATGCTTATATAATAAGATTATTCTAGACATTAAGGCTACAACAATAATAAAATAGTTGTCATGAGGTTTACATTCTAGCAGAGAACAAAATAGTGGATTACAAAGTTGGTAATGTAGTATTAGCAGGAATACAAAGTAGTACCAAGAGGATGTAACACTAGGGAATCTTACCTAATTGGGCTAATTGGGGAATAAGGGGTAGGAGGAACTGTCAAAAGAAGACTTACTGAGGAAGTAAGGTTTAAACTGAGACCTAAAGAGAAGAAACACCTTTCAGTAAAATGGTTAGCCATTTGGATTAAAATGAAATAGAATCCCTTCTTTAGTCCTTTTTATACAAAAATAATATCCATGTGAATCAACAGTTTTGATAGAAACAGTTTTGATAGAAAGTCCTAAATCGTGAATTTTTATAATCTTTGGGTATAGAGATCTTTTAAAGCTTGATGTGAAATCCAGAAATCACAACAGGTTGCAAGATAATTTGTCTACATAAAAACTAAAAGTGGCAATTAAACAGGATTGAAAGGCAAGTTAGAAACTGAGAGACGAAACCAATCCATGAGACAGAGGGTTACTCAAATCTAGATATATTTTCCCCTGTTAGACGGGCCAAGACTTTAATGTGGGATTGTTTATATGTGGAACAGCTGAATGTCCCTCAGTATAAGGTTTTTTAAGTAAATTATAGTACATACCTACTAAGGAATATTGTGCAACAATGGTAAAAAACAATGTAGACCTATGTTCATTGACGAAGATACCTGTTAATATTGTTTAGTGAAGAAAGCAGATTATAAATCTGAAATACAGTATTATTTTTATGAAATTATAGGCACATGTCTGTTTTGCTGTGTGTGCATAGAATGCTCTCTAGAGTGTTCACCGGAGTATTAGCAGTCACCAATTTTGTATAGTCATATTTTAGATGACAGAAGTTTGTCTTGTCTTGTGAGCATATTTTTTATAAAAGGTTGTTTAATTGATTTACCTATTTTTAGTGTTAGCTTCACATGCTTTCTATTTAGATAAAACCTAGCATCTTAGGCTTTCTCAGAGATAAAATTTGTGGGAAAGCATTTGATAGTCCACTTCATATATTTTGTTTAGCTGAATTATCAGGAACAACTTTAACTTTATATGAGTTCCCCTTTTATAATGTGTTGACATCTTGATTGATAACTTGATCATTTTATTGAAACATACTATAGTCAAAGTATGTATTTATAGAAATATATTTATTAGTCTTAGGAGCATTTGTTCTCATTTGAATGATTTTTTCTGGAGATAGAGTAAGTGCTTTGCCACAAAGCCTGAACAATATCTTCATTAAAAATACTGGAAATCTTTTTTTAGTATCGATTATTTTTTATTTAACCCGAGAACTTTGTAAAGAACATTGTAGTTATTGAAATCTAATCTTTACAAGTTAAAAACTAATTGACCAGATTCCACATTAATATTTTTGCTTTTTATATTGATTGACAGATTGAAAGGTTGTGTTTTACCTATTGCTTTCCCTTTAGAATATTAAGGTATTTAAGGACAACAGGGAGCATGACTCAGCGGGATTAATGGGAAATATTGTGCTAAGTATTTACCACTGTCTTCTGTCAAGCCATTTGCAGTTTAATTGAAACTCTGTAGGTAGTACTTAGCATGTCATGTCACGCTTCTTGATATCTTAAGTAGCGAACTACTATATATTTACATACATGTTTTATGAAGAGCTAATATATAAACTGTTTGATATAGAAGCATTTTAAAATGTACTTTTTGTTTTCTGCTTTCCTAGTAAATTAAAACTATTTCAAAAAATATTCAGAAAACAAGTCTGTTTTGTAAATGAGTCATGTAATTCATTTTTTAAATGATTTGGAGGGGCATGTGTGCTTGGTGGTTTACTTGCTAATATATTTAAACTAGTATAAATAAAATTATTAATAAAGTGAATTTCCTTGTAAAAAAATATAGCCTAGCCTTTTAAAATAGTGTTACTACTCATAAGATACCACTAGAGATAGTACAACTTTCATCTTTAAGTTTTAGTTGTAGTACTATTAAAATACTAATAGTTTAAATTCTCAGGATAAAAGGAAAATAAAAAATATCAAAATAGCAACAAAAACTCAACCTGCTTTCATACTTACATACCTTCATTTGCTACAGTTTGTAGTCACACAACTCATTTCCTCTGAGCAAAAATTTTGGTTATTATCCTGGTTTGTTTTAATTCAGTTCATTACTTTTCCCTATAGAAAATCAGGTTTTTGGAGAGCTCTAACTGTGCTGTTGCTGGGCTCTCATCCTTTCTGTTTAAATAATGCAGGTACTTTGATGGAAACCTGGAGAAGCTCTTTGCTGAGTGTCATGTAATTAATCCAAGTAAAAAGTCTCGAACACGCCAGATGAATACAAGGTCATCAGCACAGGATATGCCTTGTCAGATCTGCTACTTGAACTACCCTAACTCGGTGAGTATCTGGTAGTTTAAGGCTAGCACTAACTCTATTTCAGAGGGTAAATCATCTTTCATTACTTAAACAAAGGAATATCTGGGAGTCTGGGATTGTATAAAGCAGTAACCTGTAAATATATGAAGGATATGGAAAGGAAGAGAAAGAATAAGACCCTGTTCTAGAGCCCCCTTCTCCCCCATTTTTTTTTTAAAGCAGCAATTTATCCTAGTTTTCATTACACATCTCAATCTTTTCTGAGCTAATTTTACCTTGGGAGAATTGTGTAATAGGTAGCAGTGATTAGAATTATTTTTCATCCAAATTAAAACAGATTTAAAACTAAGTTTTTAAACTATATATACTAAACACTTATAAAATGTCTCTAATACTGTTTCACTAGGGAGCTTTCTGGATTCTTCATAACAAAAGGCTTTCACTTACACAGATGCATTCAAGTGGAGATTATTAAAAACAGCAAGTAGTGACAGAGTTGGAGGAGATTCTAGGACTAATTGATGTTCCTCTTAAGTAAAAATACCCCTCTTAAAATCTGTTGAATTTAGATGATTTACTTTAGCGTGTCTAGTAAAGAAGGTCTAGGGTTAAATAAACATCTTTCTATGAAGGCCTTACTTTGTTAGTAACCATAGAAAAATTATATTTGTGGCATAGATGTGTTTAGTTACTTGGAATTTACCTCTTAAGATATTTGAAGATATCTGAGAAATAACTTAATTCTACAATAATTATAACTATCTTGTTTATAATCTTTGCTTTAATAGTTAAGCATCTCTTTCTAATAATTACTATGTAGAGTTTTATATGTGTATTTCTAAACACTTATTTGAAGGGAACTAATTTGTTTACTTGTATAGGTACTTAGAAAAGAAGTTTCAAGAGAAAGTTAATTGAGAACTCTTAGAAAAATAGAAAAATCATGTGCTAAAATATTTAGTTGATAAAGTACTGAATTGAGTTTTCAAATTCTCAGGTTTTTATAATAGCTCTAACATTAGGTATTTGACTTTGGGTAGTAAATAATTTAATCTCATTGGGTTTCAGGTTTATCTTTCAAATGGGTTGAATATGATATTCTTTAAATCTTTTAGCCTGAGAATTGTATGTATTCCCTATCCTTAAATCACAACCCTACCTTGAGTATTAAACAATTAGCACTAGTATTAAAAATTCATTAAAATCATGTTTTGATCATTTTATTATCTTTTTTTAACAGATTCTCTTTGCCAGTTGACATTTATATAGTGGTTACAGTTTTAAAATGTCTGTGAGGTAATACTTAGACCCAACTAATTTGTCCCAGGTTATACAAGGTTTCCTTACTTCTTGGCATTTCTCCTCCTACTCAATTATAACCACCTCCTCCTTAGTTTAAATCTTAAATCTAATTTGAGTACTGAAGTTAACTTGCTTACAAATATCCCTTGTAACTTTCTCAGTGCCTTTGGTATTGTCTTAACAGTCTCAGCCAATTAGAACTGAGAATCAGGACTGGGAGATTTGTTCGCTCTTGTAACCAATGATGGAGAACCCACTATTCATTCATTCAACACAGGCACTATTAGAAACACAATGGAGAGTAAAGGTATAATGCCTGCCTCAGATAATATACAGGCTAGCTGGGCAGATAAGTATGGTAAGTGATTTGATAGTGCACGATACTGTGGGAACATGTTGGAGAGACTCCTAACCTCATTTTGGATCAGGAAAGACTTCACACACAAATTGACATTTGAACTAAGCTCTGAAGGTGTGGTAGGAGGAAGGCAGCTATGCTTATCACTATACCACCAGTGCTGTTGATAGTAGCAAGCAATACAGAAGCCAAAGAAGAGAATAGAAAATATACTTCCAAGAATAGTAAACAGTGCTAAAAGCTTCAGTGAAAATTATTGAAAGGTGAATTAACATGAAGTTTATTGATGATCTTGGGAAGTTATTTTTAGTAGTGTGTGAATAGTGTGGTAAGATGTAAAACCATACTGCATTAGCTGCAGAGTCATTGACTTGAAGGTGGGGAAGGAAGTGGAGGCAGTAACTGTAAACACGACTCTTTTAAAGAAAGTTTGGCTATGTAAGTGGCAGGACAAGCAAGCAGACAGAGCAATATGGTTTGGAAAGTAAGTTAAAGAGTTCTGGAAACTGCCAAGCATTATGAAAAATATAATCATGATGAAACTAGGACTTATTTTCTCATAGTTTTTAGACTACTATAGAAGGATAATTTTAACCTCTTCAGTTTTGGAACGAAGTGTTACCTGAGATTTTTCGTTGAAGCTTTAATTGGTTGGGTGATTTCTTCTGTAATTCCCGTGTTTCCATTTCCACTACTCTGTTCAAACACTAATACTTGCCTTTAATTATTAATGTATATCTTCAATACCTTTATCCTTCTAGAAAGCAAATTTAGTTTTATAAGGTGCCACATGAAAACAGGACTCATTTTACTAAATGCTTCTGATGGCTTGGTTAACTATCCTTGGTGGTCAAAACAATTATCTGAGACTTTGGAGCACTTTTTAGGATAAACTCTCTCTCCCCACCCCATTACCCTGTGGCAACTTTATAATAATGTTGTTTTAAATCAATAAGATCTAGCTGTACTAAACCCTTACTCTATTAGAAAATGTAGATAGCTTGGGCTACAATATCTCATTTTTATGAAGTAAAGAATATGTATTTTCTAAGAATAAGATTTGTTAAACAGATAAAGGCAAAGTTGAAGATTGAGAAGGTATAGTCTACCCTTCATCCCCAACACGAGTACCTCTGAATCTTTTTTCTCCTGAGAACACTGAAAACATGATCTAAGTCCAGCCCTCTCTTCCTTTTAACACATTCCATTTTACAGATGAGGGAACTGATATTCTGATTATTTGCTTAGTTTTTATAAACAATCGTTTCGGTTTTAGAGATTATATGGACAACTTCTGATTGAGGAAAGATAATTCTTAATGTTCTTCATACTGTTTGACATTAGTTGCCGTGTGTGTAAAATGGTAGAGATAAATGAAACCTTTAAGAGTGTGTATTGTTCCTTCAGTTCTTTTCAGGACCATTAAAAAAAACTTTAAAAAAATATTTTTATTGACTTCAGAGAGGGGAAGGGAGAGAGAGATAGAAACATCAGTGGTGAGAGTCATTGATCTGCTGCCTCCTGCATACCCCCTACTGGGGATTGAGCTCACAACCTGGGAATGTGTGCTGACCGGGAATCAAATGTGACCTCCTGGTTCATAGGTTGACACTCAACCACCAACCTATGCCTGCCAGGCCCATTAAATTTTTTTTTAATTTATTGATTTGAGAGAGAGAAACATCAATTTATTTTTCTACTTATTTATGCATTTTTGGTTGATTCTTATATGTTCCCTGACTGCGATTGAACCCACAACTTTGGCATACATTCTGACTGAGCTACCCAGCCAGGGCCTGTCCAGGACCATTAATTTTTATTGTAGACAATATTTCGTATATTTTTAGTGTATTCTTGGTCATATCTATTTATGATATAAACAGGGATAAGTTGATGAATAGAAAATTTGATCACCTGGGTCAGGGAAAGTCTCAGGGAACCAAGTTAGTAACCATAAGGTAGTAAGGGAACAAGTATGTCAAAGGTGGAGGGGGAAAGGGAAATGAGACAGACCGGAAGGTACCCAACTATTAAGCACAATGAATATGTCTTTTTACCACAGGTTAGTTTTTGCTTTATCTTTAGACATGCATGTGTAATTTATTTTTCTTATTTATCTTTAGTCTTATCTATTTAATCAGAAAAGTTATTGAAAAGAAGTCTTAAAAGGATAAAAAGTTCCTTTTTATCTTTTGAGCTTTTATGCGCCCTGGTATGAAGTCCCAAAGGTAGAGATGTTGCTTGTAGTCATTACTTAGTAAACATTGTGACCTTTAATCTCTGTCTTAAGGACTCTTATTTGAAATAAAGAATAAAGCACATGAGAATGCATATGTTTTTAAAATATGAATAAAACATTTTAGAATTGTTGATATAATACTATACTATATTTTGTCCTTTACAGAATGCCCCTTCTCATTATAACCTTGAAAATCAAATACTCTGCATTAGTGATCTGATAACAAGTTAGTGCCACATCTCCTTCACTGATGGAGAGTATGAGAATAGATTCTTTTGTTTCCCAGATCTTTTTTTCATGGATGAGAATATTCATTTCCCAAATATTTAGCTTCACTTGTTTGTTTTTCCATTGAGCCATTTTATTTGCATGTATGCTTTACATCTATAGAAAAAGAATCCCAGAATTATCTCTCGTGTGTGTTTCCCTCTTGCTTCTTCATAGTCCATGATGTCCGCTGAGATTCTCAGTATAGTGAAACCAAACTGACTAGATGGGAACAGTTTGTTCTGCTATTTTTCTACATCTTTGAGTTACATCAAATCAGGGGCTGATCACTTCACACTTGCTGAAACCTGCCTGTGAGGTTCACAACAATTTTTCCAGCTCTGTGATCATCAGTGATTTCAAATTTGCCAATGTAACCATGCTTCATTGTTATAGTTAGAAACCTAATGATGACTTTGGAGCATGCCCTAATAATAACCTGGTGTTTGCCTCTCTTTTTGGCATCGTTTATGCTCTTGAGAGCATCAGCCAAGGACATTCATGTACACCATTATGATGGCACCAAAAAATGGCAGAAAAAACTACATTTGTTTTGTGAATGAGTTAGACTCGTCGTCAATCTGAATAGCACTGTATTTTAAACTTGATAAATATTTTCCATTTCACTCGGTCTTTAAAACTAGTCCCAAGACTCTGATATAATTTCTTCCATGGTTGCTTCTGGGCATTTTTTTAATGTAGTTGATGTGCTGTGATATAGAATTTTATATTCTGACTTTGCATCTATTATAAGCAAGCAACTGTAGAAATTTCATAGGAATATTTCAAATAACAGCTAATTAGAAAATGTAATGAAATAAAAAATACCACTTATAAGAGCCACAAAATGAACAACAGAGCTAGGAATAAACTTGGCAAGAAATGTGAAAGAGCTATATGAAGAAAACTTTAAATACTGAGGGAAATAAAACAGTGACTTGAGTATTTGGAAAGGTAGAGTAATAGTAAAATATTGAAAAAGAAAAACAGATTGATAGTGATTGGAGAATTAGCCCTACCAAGTACAAGAGTAGACAGTGCAGTAGAACAGGATAAAGTCTAATATGCATTAAGAGAATTTAGTGTATTAGAGGGGAGATATTTCAGATCAGGTGGATTATTCAGTAAATGGTGTTGGAACAATTCTGGGGTGAAAACTTAGATTTCTGCCTAACTCCTTATAGCAAAGTTAATTAATTTAGAAGCCACAAATTTGGAAAGTACATTTTGCTACAAAATAAAGATCTGCATGACAACAGAATGTAAACTGGAAGAAAATATTTATTTTCTAAATAAGTTAAAATCCCCACTAAACCATTAAGAAAAAATGCATAGGGACAAAAATGGGCAAAATAGATAAAGAGAGTACACAGAAAAAAAATAGCCTTAAATCTCTTTTCAAATGTTTAAACTTCACTCATAATTAAATAAAATAAAAGCTAATGATGTTGGTTTATTTTCACCTGTTCCATTGGCAGAGTTAAGGAGTTAGATAGTATACTATGTTGATATGGGTATGAGAAACCAAGTTGTCATGAACCTTATCAGTTGCTGCGTGAAGTTTGATAATCTATCAAATCGTAAATATATATATACCTGTTATTTTATTTGTACAAATCTGTCCTAAGATACAGTTATTTGGTCACAACAATGTATATATAATCAGGACAGTAGCATAGTAGGCGAAATATAGTCTAAATGCCCATTAAGTCTATTAAATAATAATAATGTTTTAAAACTGAGATGCAGGATAGAGTGTGTGGTACTCTTACTGTGTGTACCTGTGTACATTAGAACATCTCTGGAAGAATATGTAAGATACTGGAAATAGTGATTACTTTTGGGTAGAGAAGGAGAGGTCAAGAATGAAGATGAGGGAAACGTATTTTCCAACATAAACTCATACTTTTAAATAATTGTTTTTAACCATGAGCCTATATTACTTATTCATTTAAAAATAATTTAGTAGCAAATATTATAAAATATTCCCTTTTTACACCAGTGTCAGACGAAACATTGTTTGGCTGCCTCCTGCACCCCCCGCTACCAGGGATCAAGCCCACAACCTGGACATGTGCCCTGACTGGTAATCAAATCAGCCACCTTTTGGTGCATAGGATGACACCCAACCAACTGAGCCACACCAGCCAGGGCTATTATAAAATATTCTTAATCTATAATATGTAACCATTATTTATCTTTTTTTTTTTTTTAATATATCTTTATTGATTTCAGAGAGAGGAAGGGAGAGGGAGAGAGATAGAAACATCAATGATGAGAGAGAGAGTTATTGATCAGCTGCCTCTTCACACCCTCGACTGGGGATCGAGCCTGCAACCCAGACATGTGCCCTGACCGGGAATCGAACCGCGATCTCTTGGATCCTAGGTCAATGCTCAACCGCTGAGCCACGCTGGCTGGGCATTTGTCTTTTTAAAATACAGTTCTCTAGACTCTCTAATACTAAAGTACTTGCTTCATATCTATTATAGAATACAGCATACTTTATTTAGGCATCCTTCAAATTAATAGTATTTCAAATCATATATGATTAGACCAAAATGTTATTTTCTTAGCTGTCTGAATAAATCCTTTGGTTTCCATAGTATTTTATTTTCTAGGTTTCCTACATTCTGGTAGCTCCATTAAGTTCTGTGTTTGTGTGACATATTTTTTATAACAGCTTTATTGAGATAATTCACATATTATACAATTCACCTAAAGTATAGCCACAGTTGTGCGGCCATTCCCACAGATAATTTTAAAACATTTTCATAACCCCGAAAAGAAACCCTGTACCCTTTTACAGTCATTTCCCATTTTCCCCCAACCCCCCAGCCCTAGGCAACCATTAACCTACTTTTTTTCCTCTATGAAATTGCCCATTCTGGGCCTTTCATATAACTGGAATCAAACAATATGTGGTCTTTTGTGACTGGTTTCTTTCACTTACCATAATGTTTTCAAGGTTTATTTATATTATATAGTATGCATCAATACTTTATTCATTTTTATGACTGAATAATATTCCATTATATGGATATTCCACATTTTGCTTATCCATTTGTTGTTGATGGACATTTGGTTTGTTTCCATTTGGGGACCCTATAATGCTGCTATGAACATTCGTGTACAAGTTTTTGTATGTACATATTTTCATTTCTTTGGATATATACCTAGAAGCGGAACTGCTGGATCATATGGTCACTCTGTTCAATTTGAGAATCTACTTGAGTGTTTTCCAAAGTTCCGGCACCATTTTACGTTCCTACAGCAGTGTTTGGGGGTTCTGATTTCTCCACATGCTTATCAACGCTTGTTATCTGTCCCTTTTTTTTTTTTTTTTTTTTTTTTTTTT